TACCAGGAAACGCTATGACCAGATGCAGGACGGACCTATGAAAGACCTCTACGATTTTGCGTATTGGACATGTCTTCAGCTTGAGAGGTATGCTTGTGATGGTGTCACTGTCAGATCTAGCCTGCGGGCCCAACTAACTTCGGATATAGTGATATTCTTGCAGAACTCGATCTCCCCGCCAGTGGCATTTCTCGTGCAGAGTCACGTATAGGTCTACCAAAGGGACGCTTCACACTTGCTTTACCAAATGAAATCTGCGCCCCCAGTACCATGATGATGTTTTTCTATTCTGCCCAAATCCACCTCCGGAAAGTCCTTAACCGTGTCCACACTGATCTGTACAAAGTTGAGAGTAAGGCACCCAAGACCATATCTCCAGGAAAACCGCTAATTATACCTCTATAGGACAACAAGGCTCCAACAATGCAAACCCTGGCAGTGCCACCAATGCCGCTGGTTCTGCGAGTGCTGTCAACGCTGCAATCGCCGCAATCACAGCTAATCCTTCCAGTAATACTACAACCACGAGCAGCTCAAGTAACAACCGGTGGACATCAAACGTGCAAGAAATTCTTAGCATGAATCTCGAACTGTGGCGAAATAGTCTTCCAGAGATCATGAAATGGAAAGACACTGATCCCCCCTCAAACGACATAAATGTTGCTCGTATGCGGGCCAAATATTACGGCGCACGATACATCATCCATCGTCCTCTTCTATATCATGCTCTGCATTTTGCTGGACTCCCTAATCCCAATCCAACTGCCGCATCAGTCGAGTCACCCGCCGGGTCCGTTCTCTCTGGCTCGAAATCTCAGCAGGTTTCGCCCTCATTACCGCACAGTCAACGGGCTTCAAACATGGCGCGTCTGTCGAGCGATATGGGCATAGCAGTTCATAGCGCTCCCCCTTCCTTTCACGGAGGCTCGATGGGCACCATTGCATACCGAGACCTACCGCCTAAGCTACGACGAGCCTGCAAAGTATGCATCGACTCTGCAATCTTGAGTACAGAGGCCTTTGATGGAATCGAAGGTCGTCCGATCGTGACAAATATCTTTGGAACTGCTCATGCGCAATTCGGCAATATGCTTGTGCTGTCTGCAACCTACATGTCCTGTCTCTCAGAGCTGGTGGACCGAAATGTGCTCGAGAAACTTCTCAAGCGAACAATTAAATTCCTGTTGCAGAGCCGATACATCTCCCCCAGTCTTCGAGCCGATGCACGGATTCTCACCGAAATCTATGAGAAGATTTTTGGAGAGCCCGCCACGAGTTTCTCATCTGCCTATAGCTAGGTTTCTACCACTTCCCGTCTCCCTGCCCCTGGGGAGACCGCCTCAGAACATCGCCTGCACGGTATCCCCGTGGGTCGCCTGAAAAAGGTAGACCTCGCCATCAGAGTGGGGCTTCTACAAGACCAACTATCCAATCCATACCGATCCTTCGAATCTATTCTTTTCTAGGACATACTCGACTCGAACCTCTCTTCCTCCCCTCTTTTGTCCATGCTCTTTCCTTCGACCCTTGGCTCCCTTGCATATACTGATGCCTGACATGGCACGGTTCATATATAACATACATACATAGGTGTCTTGCACGGCGGTTCTTTGTTTTTTATCAGTCATTCTTGGGCAGGGCTTCAATATCTTGGGTTATTCTCTTTGATTAAATTTGCTGCGCATTGGGAAGGAATGGGTGGCTACGTGAAATTATTCTGATCATACCGGGTTTATTTAGCATCGGACCTTTTTTTGTTGTTTGATACCTTGTTCCTCCTTGTTGTTCAAACGGCGCTGGTTACACCTCACCATTGTGACTGCGAATGGGTACCTATGGGAGGGATCGTGTCGTTGCATTTTCAGCGAAGCAGGGTTGGTGGTCGCCAACAGACCTGGCTACCTGCATTCTTGGACAGATGGACGGCTGAATATGCGAAATTGCTTAAAGTCTAACAGATGATTGTCGCCAATGGCTCGGGATGGAAGTGATGGTGTGCGACTTTCTACCGTATTTTTGGTGTCATTGGGTCATTGACTTCATTATAAGAGTTCAGGATAGGACCTGTTTGTCAAATAGCCTACGTTACTCATTCCAATAAAGACTTGCATCTCAGGAGCACTCGCCGTGCGTGATGCACAACAGGGACAACGGTGTGACCGTAGAGATGATGGAGAGACTTGTTCCTGCTCGGAGGCTATCCGGGTTTTACTTGTACAACGCATAATTCGGCAAGGAGAAAAGTACCCGTGACCAGCGAATTACACAAATTATAAGTGACAATTGTAGGACAATCTCTCAATGAACGCTGAATATGTAGCATTAACAGTAGCATGCCATTGGACAGGGCAGCATTGGCGAGGGACGTAGAGCCCGCCTCGGCTGCTTCTGAAGCTTTCCCCGCAGTCCCTTGCTTGGACGATCAGCAACAACCATCATGCTCCGGCTCGCCTATATATGCAGGTCGCTCATCAAGGAGGTCATGCTCGAGATCAAAAGGTCCAAGGGGCCGTCGTCCAGCGTAACCTGATTATTAGATGGTCTACATTAGAGGGAAACACTTTCATTGTTTTCCACTATGGTGACACCAAGAAAGTGGCTCTCACGCGAAGGTTGGTCTGAATGTTTCACATCCCAAACGTCCACTGTTTGCTAGGCTATCGATTCTAAAGGAAGGAATTCTTCCGGAGTATAGGGTTCACTGCCGATGTCTTCGGAAAATGGATTCAGAGCACGCTTCTGAGTCCCTGGAAGACGCTCCCTCTCCTGCTGCTGGCCCAGTGCACCGCGAAGGGCCACCGACTCGCCCTCGAGCATTCACGATTCTTCCAGGTCCTCCAGGTCCTCGCCTTCCTTGCTGTCCTCCGCCGTGTTAACGCCTGGCTTAATATCCGGACTCTGAACAATGGCGTCTCGGACCGGTTCGACTGGAACCGCGAGGTGGTTGTGCTGACGGGTGGCAGCAACGGGATAGGCAGACGGATCGCGCAGCTGCTCGGCGACCACGGCACCAAGGTCGCCATCCTGGACATCCACCCACCACAGGAGGATCAGGGCCGCCTCCCGCCTACCGTTCGCTTCCACAAATGCGACATAACCTCGCCCTCGGCCATCGCGGCCGTCGCCGCCGACATCCGGGCAACCCTAGGCGAGCCCACCGTTCTCATTAACAACGCCGGCGTCTGCAACCACAAGACCATCCTCGGCGGCACGGAGGCGGACACCCGCATCCAGTTCGAGGTCAACACCCTCGCGCACTACTGGCTTGCGCGCGAGTTCCTGCCGCACATGGTCAAACGCGACCACGGCATGGTCGCCACCGTTGCGTCGCTGGCGGGATACACCACCACCCCTAATATGGTCGATTACTCCGCCACCAAGGCCGCGGCCATTTCGTTCCACGAGGGGCTGGCGGCGGAGCTGGTGACGAGGTATCATGCCCCGCGGGTGCGGACGGTGATGCTCGCGCCGGGATTCACGCAGACGGCACTCATTGGGCGGTTAACTCCGGAGGATACGTGGTTTAATCCGCTGCTGCAGCCGGAGACGGTCGCGGAGCAGTTGGTGAGACAGATCCTCACGGGAAATAGTGGGCATGTTGTTGTGCCGGGTTCCTCAGGGTGGCTTGCTTGGAATCTGAGGAGCTTTCCGCCTTGGTTCCAGCATTCTATGAGGTCGTGGTTGGAGAGATTGATGCGTGCTGATTAGAAGCTGGCTTACTTTATGACTTGGTTGAGCTTGGTTGGTGCTTGGACTGTTTGCTCCGCTTGTCTAGCTGACGCTGCCTAGACCCGAGTGAGAGTTTTAGTAATTAGTGTGGGACTACTGCTGGACAGGAGTACTCTAGCATTGTGCTTGTTCTTTTTATTTTATTTTTATTTTTATTTCTATTTTTCTTTGGAAAACAGTCTGTGACCAGGTTGTTGCAGCTATGGGAGAGGCCTCAAATGGACACCTGAGGCGGAATGTACGGTCCTAAGTTCAGGTAGCCACAAACCTCGAGTGATGATGAGGATTGTACGGAATGGCGCAGGGAATGGCACACAGAAGGATTGATTAGGTTCAACCATAGCAGATCTCCAATCAGTAAATAATACGTCCTATCCAGTCCTCTGTAGCTACATATTATTGTGAAAAAAATTCATTACCAGCCTTCTGGCCTAAGGCTACCATATTCTTCTCGTGGTCCTCGTTGCTGCTCGGCACGTGCAGCCAACCAGCCTCCCCAGCCTCACCGCGATTTCGTCGGTTCTCACTCACCTTTCGATTCAGTCCTGCAGGCATTCTTTGCCATCTCAAGACGTATACACGTTCAGGGGAATTATCGTCCAGTCATCATCTTGGTTGAATTCCAATTATCATATGCATCGACTCAACTCCCCACATTCTTACTTTCATCACCATTCTGTCTAACTTCATCATCATCTTCATTATTATTGTTCCTCCTCGGCTACTCTAAGCTAATACAAATCTGAACCGTGCCCTCGCGGCCTTAGGCGCTAACCGCCCACTGGATCGCCTTGGCAGCGGATTGTCTGGAGCAACCACCCTTAGCATCAAAGCTGACCCAGCACTATCATCCGAGCGGTTCAGGCTGGGGCTGCCGACGAAAAAGAACCACGGCTCAGCTCCGTTGTTTGTCCTTGTTTACCTTGCGGAAAACAACTATCCATTATCCGTTCGATAGGCTCTCCTCTCGAGCTGCGCTGAAGGGCCTTTTGTTTTCCACCCTGTTCATGCCATCGTCCTTTAGCATCACGAGTCACGAATTTGCTTTGATCCCACGCTCAACTACCTGATTAATCTATTGATTTAATTTACGATTTGGATTGATTGACTTAGTGCATTACGACGATTGTTGTTCCTTTCCACTCTCGACAGTCAACCAGCCACCAGCTCCGCCTTGAACCCTCGAAGCATTCCCAGTCTCAACATTCCGATTCCCACATGGTTGTCTGAGCCGCACGGAGCATCATCTTGATCGCTCTTTTCAGCCCACTATGTTCAGGGCCCTGATGGGCGGGGGCCGTTCCTCCGATAGCCGCAGCACAACCTCCAGCTCCAAGAGCAGTAGCCGCCGCCGAACCAACTCCAAGGCTTCTTCGACAGTCAGCCGCAAGTCCTCACGGGGTGACGACCGTGATCGTGGCTTGGGCGATCTGTCGACCTACTCTTCCTCAGGCAGCCGCAGCAAGCGATACGCTCCCAGCGCAGCGGGCGATTCTGTCGCTTCGAGCTATGCGACGGCGGAACCGGGCATATCGGTCGAGCACGATCGAATTATTATTGAACGGACACCCAAACGCAAAGATACCGATGAAGAAAGCGGTCGCGATCGATATTCCGATACTCGCGACAGGGATGGGCGCAGTTCTCGCAGACGCGACCGGGACCGATCGCAGAGTCGTGAGCGCGAACGGCCCCGGTCGGAAAGGAACGACCGGGCGCAAGTAGAAGATGACAATGTAGACTCTCGCGACCGCCGTCGGGAGCGGTCACGGACTCAGTCCGGCGATACGTATTTGCCGCCTGTTTCCACATCAATGCCCATGCAGCCAAATTCCCCCTTGGTCTATGACCCTCATGTCCAGCAGCAGTTCCCAGGTCAGTTCCCTGCTTATGTTGCCGAGCCATATCGGCCTCCAAATCCCGCCGGCGAAGCAGCGGATTATTATGGCGATCAGGGACAGTCTGTTGCGGAGCAGCCAGGTGTGCGTCCTAAACCTCCATCTATCATTCCCAACAGCCAGGCGCATCTCATGACTGCATCGCCTGTTGCCAATCCACCACCGGAGCCGAGCAGCATGGGCCAGGTGGGCGCAGCCGCTGCGTACTTTGGAGACGACGCAGAGCTCGCGGTGGATCCAGCGCCAGGACGACCGGATCGTCCAACTGCTGGAGCCACGTCCAAACCTCCCAAGCCGTCTAACGCTACATTCGGCATTTCGGGGATGGCCGCTGGAGCTGCTGCCTATGGAGCAGGAGGCAGCTTTCCCTTGCCGGCCGGCCCGACATCACCTCCGGAACCTGTCCCAACGACTGCTCCATATGTCCATCCTGTGACATCCAGCACCACCAAACCGCCCCATACCCATAGTATCGGAGCCTCGGTTGGAGCGGCGGCAGCGGGTGCTGCAGCAGGTTACATGCTTGGCCACCACCAGCACCACTCTATGTCGAGCACCGACCATCTATCCCAGTACACCATGCAGAATTACGACGAATCTTCCCAGCATGGGTTCGGAAACCCAGGCCCGACAATCCACAATGCACCGGCCAATCCAGCGTGGTACGCTGCTGGAACAGGAGCAGCCCTGCCGTATGCTGCAAGCCCTCTGCATCCCCACCATGCTGCTGTCCACCACGGGGCTCCCTTCTCCTCGGGAAGCTTGGCATTTCAGCAGCGCCAACGTGGTCCGCTTGATAAGTTCATTGACTTTTGGCGTGATCCTGAGGGGGTTGGTATGTTTGAAGAGTATACGGAAGCCATAGGCGTCTGCAAATACTGCTTCGAACCCGGCACTTCCTCGCGTGACGCTCCTCGTAAACATCACTACCGCCCACGCCGTTCGTCCGGCGAGCGCTACAGCGGTGGGTCGCGGGTGGGAAAGGCAAGTCGCCATACATCCTCTGAGGACGAAGGTCGCCGGCGGAAGAAGTCATCACGGAGTTCCTGGCTGCTGCCTGGACTCTTGGGAGGTATTGGCGCCAAAGCGCTTTTCAATAACAAAGATTTTGAAGACACCTATAGCGTCCGTTCCGGACGAGTAAGAACTGCCAACGACACTGAAAGTGTCTCAACAACACGGCGAAGCCAGACCTCGCGTGGCGTCTACAGGCGTCGGAGTCAGTCTCGAGACCGTGAGTCCCGCAGCAATTACTCAGACTCGAAAAGTCGATATGAGGATAAGCGACACCGTTCTCGGTCCCGATCCCGTTCGTCCTCCCGAAATGGCCGCCATTCGGCGCTCAGGGATGCAGCCGTAGGTGCTGCTGTGGGCTCAGGAGTTTTGGCTTTGGCCAAGTCTCGTGATCGAAGCCGCAGTCGCAGCCGCAGTCGATCCCCAAGAAAGTCAAAAGGGAGGAAGTCGTCAACCTCTGACTCTTCCTCTTTTGTTGATATCTCCCAACCTGCCCGGAAGTCCGTTGGCGGTGGCATTGCCTCTTTCTTCACGGCTTCCTCTGAGAACCGTGGAAGGCGCCGAGTCAAGAAACGCAGGAGTATCTTTTCGTTCAACAACTCATCCTCTTCTTCGCTTGATGCGGATTTGGCATTTGGTACCGGATTCGCGCGAACACCCGCTCGCAAGTCGGACAAGAAGAGCAGTAAGAAGAAGGACCGTGGCGTAGATGCAGCTCTGCTGGGATTAGGCGCTGCGGCCACCGCATTAGCTGCTACATCTCACCGACGAAGTCGGCGGACGGGAGAGATTCTCGCGGCGAAGGAGACGCGGTCGCGACACTCAGATTACGCATCATCGGTCACTAACGATGAGGGCTGGGAGGATCTGGACTCAAGAGACCAGTCTTCCTCCAGTGTCAGTTCGGCGCTCGCGTTCGGTGATACCGGTTTGTTCGGTAGCGATGAATCACTGTCGTCTGACTCTGGCACTTCGAAATGGGGTTGGAGATGGGGAAGCAAAAAGGATAAAAAGAAGAGGAACAAGACTAGCTCCCCTCAGGACAAATTCCCTACGGGTGCTGCTCTCGCTGCAGGTGCTCTAGGAACGGCTGCGCTGGCGTCCACTCAGGACAAAGACTCCAGACTACCCAGGCAGCCTGCGTCAAGCAGCCCCGGAAGCTTGCAGCATGTGGCCCCCGTGCCAACTAGCGATCCCACCCTCGTGGATGCGGTCAGGGTGGCGTCTCTGCCACCTGCTGAACCCGCATTCGTTCGACCTGGTCCCATTCCACTGCAGCAACCGCAACCCATGACGCCAGTCTCGCAGGCGGTTTATGCTACCCAGGGCGAATCGATTCCAGCCTGCGCTGCTCCGGTGATCCCACCTGCCTTCCCCCCGACCTCCTACATCCCCTACAGACCTGAACAAATTCAGAATGTAGCTCTAGGCTTCAATCGGCCACACCACAGAAGCGACTCTTCCCCTGTGTTCCATACAGAGCCTCTGGAAGGTGTGCCAGCAACCGGACTGAAGCGTCGCTCGACCGTCAAAGACCAGGGCTCGGTTCAGTTTGATCTGACCAAGGAGCAAGCTGATAAGGAGCGACGTGCGGATCGCCTTGAGGAGTTGAAGCGCGAAGCGGAGCGGGCCAGCGGCGTGCAACTTATTGATAGAGAATACGAGCCGAACGTCTGGGATGATGACCGTCGTTCAGGACGCTACGAAGACCGTGGATACGATGACCGCAGACAAGAAGAGCCTAGAGAGGATCGCTACGTCAAGGATTCTGAAAAAGACAAAGATTCATTCTCGCGGGTCGGTGCTGTCGCCGCGGGTGCAATAGGCGCCGCAGCTGCAGCTACCGTGCTATCTGGAAGAAGTTCTGTGGACGAATCCTCCGAAACCAGCCAGCGACGTCACGAGGAACGTCGACAGCAGCGCCGAGCGGAGCGTCGTCGTGGATCCGAGCCGGAGTCAACAATGTCCACCCGTAGTAGATCTGAGCCTGCTCAGGAAATGAACGATCATCCGCCCGAGGAACGTCAGCCGGAGCCTAACAAGCCGCCGAGTCCCAGTCGTAGTCCCCATAAATACGACGATTACGCCGAGTTCTTCGCTCCTGAAGAGTTGCGGCATAGCCCGGACACCTACAAGCGGCGCGCGCCTGCCTCGATGCCTACTATCATTGAGATCGAACCTGCAAGCGAAAGAGAATCTCGAGAAGCGCTGCAGCCAGCAGAGGAGTCGCATTACGGATACCGACATCTTCCATGGTCGGTGCCTGTTCTCAAACTTACCGAGCCCACTCCTCCTCAAAGTCTGAGCGGATCCGTCAGAGATGCTGCTTCACCCGTGGGTAATCCTCGGGATTTGCCTCCTCTCGAAGAAGAGGAAGATGTGAAGCCTGCTGCACGACAAGCGACCGGTTCCCGTGTCTCCTGGGGAGAGCATGAAACGCATGAGTACGAAGTTCCGTCCACGTCCTCCGAACTTGAATCAGTGGACCATGAAACCACAAGAGAGCGACAGTACCCTCATTCGCCGGATCTCCAGCAACGGGACGTATCCCCCAAAAACGTCACGGATGATGTCGGTGCGGACATTGAATTTGCGGCTGCCTTGGCTGCTGCCACTGCAGCAGCAGGCTTTGATCCTGCCCTCGTGACGGAGGATCCCGCATATCATACCCGGTCTTCGCCTCCTGGCTCTCACGGCGGGGTCGAATACAGGCATCCATGGGTTGAGACCGAGTTAGGGTCTCGGATCCCGCATGGTTTTGTCGAAGGCGAGGTTCAGACCCCTGAAGATGAAAAGGCCCAACCCGATGGAGTCGTCGAAGAGCAGCCACTGTACACTGAACCCGAGCCTGTTTCACGGGAAGCTAACAATCAGGACCCGCTTGAGCCTCAGACTCGAACTTCGATCGCTCAGGAGGTAATTGACCGGCTCACTGAGAAGCAAGATGAGCGAGCCGGCCCACGTAAAGCTCTATCCGAGACAGAAAATAGCCCAAAATCTAGCAAGGAACGCGATGAATCCGAGCTTCCTGCTCGAGACTCGTTTTCCATGCCCGGAGGATTCGAAACGGAAGAGTCACGCTCGGAATCAAAGCGTGATGTGGACTCGCGTGATGACGGTGAATTAGACCGCCGGTCCGTTGCTTCTGCCCCTGTATCTGGTGAATACGATTCCTCAACAAGACCAAGAAAATCCACACAAGACAGCGGTTACTTTGATGATGGTGAAGATGCCGCATCTGCGTCAGTTGAACAGGATGGCAGCGAGGGGAAGAAAAAGCGACGGAAGAGGCGGTCCAAGCGTGACAGTGACACCTTTACTGACTCTGCCTCTGTAACATCCTCGCCCGCCAGAATTGGGCAGTCCAGCGAGAAACGCAAGAGCTTGGATGACAAGGATAAAGAGAAGAAAGCGGGAGGGTTCTTCAGCAGTATCTTTGGCTCGAGAGTTTCAGAGCCGGTAGACAGCAAGACGTCATCCTCTGCAGATAGGCCTTCATCACGTGACGTTCAGTCCGAGGTAGGACGTCGAGAGTACGAGGAGTCTCGCCGCCGGAGGAAGGAGGATAGGTCCTCCCGGCGGGATGAGGAGAGTGGTTCTGACAAGGAGAACAGTAAGGCTAGAGACAAGGATGGTATTGACATTGAGAACTACAAGTCTAGCAGGCAACGGAGGGAAGAGAGACGGCGACGAAGATACGAGGATATTGTGGAGTCGGGGAAACCGGGGGAGTATGAGAAGGTATAGTCATCTTTAACTGTTCTGATCTCATTTACTGTAACGTGTCTTGTGCTTGGTTTATGGCCCAAATATGGACCGATCAAGCAAGCCAATCTTAACGCGCATATGCTAAAATGATTTACCCCTCGTTTCCTCCACGTATAGGATCGCAAAATATCGGAAGACAACGACGAGAACCTGTCTTTTTTAGCAGAAGGCCCCGAAATGCCAGTCCAGATAGGCGACGGCGATAGAGAGAGTGGTGCTTCGGGGCGCGTTCGTTTGGCAGAAGGAGCCGTCACAGGATTGGGTATAGGCGTACTGGAACAGCGGCCAAGAGGGCGCTCGACACCTCCTGAAGCTTCGGAGAGGATCATGCATCCAGCCCCCAGGTCCCGAAGTCGGCCTGCCTCGCCCGAGCGGAATTGGCAAGAGGGAGACAATCAGAGCCAGTCGTCACGACGGTCATCCATATTGCGGTCGAAGGATTCTCCTACTGCGGTGCCGTTGCACTTCCGTCGCCCCCCAGTCTCGCCTGGGACAAACCGTTCGGTTTCCGTCGGCGCCCCTACTGCACCGTCTCCTGGGTCTCCAACAGCCCCTAAACGCCGACCAAACTCTACAGAGTTCAAGAATTCGCGCGAGATTCGGCCCTTATGGTTGGTAGAGCGTCACGGTCCTGGACACGGGGAGCATGAGCCCGAGGAACCGTTACCATCGCTGCCGTCAAGCAAGACTTCATCCGCGAATACCTCCGTGGAAGACCTTACTGCGCTTCAGGACGAGAGAAGCTGGGAGGCGGTTGATCTGAGCCATCATGTCCACGGCACTCGGCGACCAAGCGGCATCGACATGTCTCAGAGCAGAGGGTTCGAGCATGATGCCCTAGGTTCGCAGCAGGCAACACCTACGGCGGCAACTTTCGAGCGGATACACCCACATCCTCCTTCACGGAAAGAGAAACTGAAATATGAGTTCCACTCTCCCTCGGAGCTCCTTCAGGATACGAGCCCGTACGAAGACGTACAGCCCTTTGACATGGGAGATCTCCCGTCCGCGGAGGGCTCGGCCGTTGGTGTCAAGGATGCAAGTGCTGAGAATGAAGACAATGTAGAACTTGCAGCTGAGGCCTTGCCCCCTCGGCCGTCTACTCCGCAAAATAATGTCACCGCGGCCTCCGAAGACACGGAGACCACCCCCACTCAAACTAGGATCGTGAACACTTTCGAAGGCCCTGAATTCGCTGGGGTGGTGGATGCTGCTGTTGCAGCAGCTGTGAGCGGTCATCTCAGCATGCAGCCGGATGTTGCAGTTTGCGACAAAGAAGGTCCGGTGGATCTTCCTCGTGATATGGACAGAACTGATAAGTCAAATGCCGACCATGAAACCGCAGCAACCTTCTTCCCCGCCCCCGGCGCACCTCTGGACTTTGCAGCCGTTGTCGATGCTGCGGTTGCTGCAGCCACCAGCTCTACTGGCGAGAAGCCCGAAGCTGCTAGAGAAATTGAGCAACCGCAAGCCACAGAAGAGTCAAAGGACGAAATAGTGAATGCAGTTAGCGAACAGCAGGGGCCCGTGGAACCGCACCTGCAGCAGTCGCCTGAGATATCAGAGCCCATACCCCAAACCCCACACCCGGACGAGCAAGAGACATCGCATCCGACCGGGGACGACAGCAGTGTCCCGCGAGATGACAAGAGAAGGGATTCGGTGGATACAGTGGTTCCCCTAGCGGAAGGAGCATCCGAAGAAAAGGAGAAGCTGGACGCCAGTGCGGTCATCCCAGACCTAGCCGGGGAAAACAAGGAGCTTCTGTCCGAGCCAACAAATGAGAACGCGAACGACAACAATCAGGCTCAAACGGAGGAGCCACCGGTCGATACTGACGAGCCATCTTCGTCTTCTGCCAAGAAAAAGAAGAAGAAGAAGAATAAGAAGAAACGTCAGAGTATGGACTCAAGCACTCAGGAGCCAACTACGCCTGTGGATGACACGACTGTCGATCAGAAGGAGGTGGGGTTCTCTACTGTTGAAGATGCACGGACTGATGCCGTCGAGTCTTCCGAGCCTGCACCAAAGGAGCAAGTTCTTGCTGAACAGCCTGCCAGTGCTGAACCTACGGCTGCACCCGAGCAGGAGCCGACAGAGGCTACAGTTAATATAGAAAAGGCCACGGAAGCACTGGACGCCAGCAAGGCACTTGAAGAGGAACCGACACCTGCTGCGCTCGAGGATACGCCTGCTGAGTCAACCGCTGAAACACCAGCTGAGGATCCAGCCGAGACATCATCTTCTAAGAAGTCTAAAAAGAAGAAAAAGAAGAAGAACAAGGGCTCTGCTCCTGAGGAGAACACGCAGGCCCCCGCTTCTACAGAGACACCGGAAGCATCAGCTGCAACTTCACAGGTCATCGCAGAGCAGGTAGAACCTACCGTGGAAACTACACAGCCTGTGGAGGGAGAACCGAACCCTACCGAGGAGAGTCCCATTGCTGTGGCCGAGAATACTGTCGAGCCCGAACCGGTACCCAAGGAAATGGAAGCTACTGAAGACCCTACCCATGTTACACTTCAAAATGTTCCAGTACCGGAAGGTTTCCAAGACTCCTCGGTAGAGACTGATAATAAGGCTAAAGAGTTGCCGCACTCCGGAGAAGAGTTCCAAGCTGAGCCTACCCGCGCTCAAGAGCTGCCAGAGAATACCGAGCTCACCCACAAAACTGACGACTTGAGTTCTGGCATAGATCCTTCGGGACTAGCAGAAAGTGACTTGGTGAATGAGACGGCCTCTCCTGAGGTCTGGCATGACGCTTTGGCTTCCTCTTCCGAGGACAAGAGCGCCGAACCCCAGCAAGCCGATCTTAAATCTAATGAGCCACAGAACGAGGAGAAGGCACCAGAGTCCGAGATACAGCCAGTTGACAAAGGACAGGCCGAGATCCCAGAAAAGCCGGCCGAGGTGAATACTCCTGCTGTCACCCAAGTCCTTCCCGAGGAACAGCAGGAGCATGTGAAGGAGCCCTCTACCCCCGTGTTTGATTCTCCTTCTACGGATTGGGTGGAAACAGCAGAATCTAGCGTTCAGATCGAAGAGCCCACTGTCACTACCACGGAATCGGAAACTCCGTTGTCACGCAAAAACAGCAAGAAGAACAAGAAGAAGAACAAGCGGAAGAACACTGCAGAGACAGCGGCTCAGAGCGAGGCTGTTGATACTGCAGAGCCTATTTCTTCAGTTGAAGGCGTTCCTGAACCTGGGTCTGAGGCTGCAACCACTGGGTCCACTGCTGTGGAGGAACCTCAAGTAACGTTGCCGGATGAGGCTGTCAAGGAAAATAAGAAAGAAGCTACGGACGTTCAAGATATCAAAGAGGAACCCTTACCCAAAAGCATGACCGGAATAGCAAACGATTCCCAGCCAAGTACAGTTGAAGAAATCCATCAGACAGGAGCGGAACAGTCCGCGCCAGACATGGTAGCTGAGATCGTGAGCGAATCCCAGCCCGCTGCACCTCAAGACATCCTGGAGACAGTACCGGAAGAGCCCATTGACGAGCAGCCAAAAAAGAAGGGCAAGAAAAAGAAGAATCGCAAATCAGTCAATGTTTCCGACTCCCAGCCCCAGTCAGAGTCAGAAGCCAAGATTGAAGAGCTCCGATCAGTTGATACTGCGGAGACCCCGCAGCGTCAAATAAGCGGTGAGGTAGCGGGCGACAGTCAGGTACCGCCAGAGTCGGGTGTCTCAGAAGAACCTGCAGGGATTGAAGACGTTATGCCCATTCCTGCAGCGGAGGCAGGTGAACTGAACTTACCTGTGGAGAAAGACGAGACCAATGACGGAGAACCACATGTGTCCGAGCCCAGCGAGCAACCAAATAATGAGACTGTGCCTGGCCCTGAACCGGAGTCCGAACCTGTGCCTGAAGCGGGGGAGATTATACCGTCTGGCAAAAAGAGCAAGAAGAACAAGAGGCAGAGCCTGTCTTTTGCACCTGATGAAACGCCAGCCTCCGAGCCGTCAACTCCCGCAGACGCTGCAGACGGGAACGCGGATTTGCGTGTCGCACCCGAAGATTCCTCCCTGAAAACTGATCAAGAGTCAATGCGAGAGGAGCCAGCTGGAAGCCAGCCGACCGTTGACTCAGTTACTGAAACACCCGATCTAAGTATGGCGGAGGAAGCTGTCCCTATGACCGCCGCGCAGAAGAAGAAGGCGAAGAAAGAAAAGAAGAAGAAACGCCAATCTGCTTTATTGGATCAGACACCTGCATCTGAGTCGATTGAAGGAGCTGATGCCAAGGATGTTACTTCTGAAGGTGCTCAGATGCCCCCGGAAGTGCCGTCTGAACAGCAATCATACGAGCCTACTTTGGATGCCATTGAGCACGCGGAAGCGACAGCTGGGCACTCGCAAGAACAACCCAAGGAGGATGTGGCTTTGCACGCGGACCGCAGCCCCAACTCTGATGGAGAGTACGTGCTGGTACCAGAACACGTGACCCCCAGATCCAATGATGAAAGCACACCCCAAGCTGCTTCCACGGTGTTCGATGTCGCACAAGTGAATATTGAATTGGAGAAACAGCCATTGACCCAGGAAGGCGTGTTGGATACAAACGAGGCCACTCCCGCTGAAACACCATCTGCTGCTGATCAACCTGTCCAAGAAGAATCCAGCCCTACGCCAGCAATGGAGGGTGGTGCTGCCATCGACGAACTAAAGGCCGCAGAAAAGGACATCCCTGAAGATGCTCCAGACAAGACAATCGAGCACAATGATACTCCCGACGATAGCTTGACGGCAAAAGGAGCTCAAACCGAAGTAGTCGGTACAGAGACTAGTCAAGAGACTAGTCAAGAGACTGACGAAGGTGGTGCAGTTCCGGACGGCGAAGCTGGCTCTGAAGGCTTGATTCAGGATGACCAGCCTTCCGCTTCCTCGAAAAAAAAGGACAAAAAGAAAAAGAAGAAGCGCCAGTCGCTTGCCCTAGACGATGAGCAGAGTCCCTCTACCAAGGAAGAACTAACTGCTGAACCTTCGCCCGACCGTGTTCCAGAGCCTTCGGCTGTTGATGAATCGGCGCCTATTCCTTCCTCTCCTGAAGAGCAGAAGCCTGAGACGGATTCCACTGAAATCGTTACAGAGACAGCCGCTGAGCCAGCATCACATTCCGCTCCAGAAGAACCAGAGAACATTGCAAAAGCTGCTTCTAATGAAGCTACGCAAGAGCCCGCTGCAGATGAAACCCAGACCGCGGAGTCTACAGAGGAAGCTCAAACAGCAAAGTCCAAGAAGAAGGCAAAGAAAGACAAAAAGAAACGAAAGTCTGTCTCCTTCGAGATTGAAGAGCCGTCGACTCAGCCGAGCGAGCCTGAGCACCCTGGAGAAACAGTGACCCCGCATGAGGATCCGAAACTCGAGGACGAACCTACCGCACAGAAAGCTCCCACCGAGGAGCTTCAGCCCGCAGAAACAGTCTCTGAGAACCTGACTCGCAGTGGACTAGATATTGTTACTCAACCTGAGCAACCGGAGCCAACCGTCGAGGCTACAGAAGCTACAGAGCAACACAAGCAGATGACAGAGCCTTCTTCAGGTTCAATCACAGAGGAACAGGTTGTCGTGGAAGAAACTGCAGCTCCACCGTTTGTTGATGAGGCATCCCCATTACAAGGACAGACAGTCTCGTCGGAGTCCCTCTTGTCTCAAACTCAGGAGGACGGTGTCAAGAGTGTCCAGGACGCTGAGTCCTTGGACGAGAAGAAAGAGGAGCTCGCTTTCCAGCCTTCGCTAGAAGACAGCGAGAGCATCAAGCCAGAGACCTCGCCGGAACAAGCAGAGTCCGAGTCGCAAACGCCCATTGACGTTGGTGAGCAAGGAGCCGGCCCTTCTAAGTCAAAGAAAAACAAGAAGAAGAAAAAGAGGAATACTCTGGAGTCAACCGAAGAAGTGCCAGTGACACCGCCTGAGCCTTCGAACGTTGAACCGCTCGAATCGACACCGGTCCTTGAAACGGACAAGGGCCTCGAATTTGCCGAGCCTGACACCACAGTGTCTGAAACTGTGCACGAAGAGAAGAAACCGGAAGAGGAGCCCAGCGGGTTTATGTCGGCAAAAGCAAAGAAAAAGGCGAAAAAAGACAAGAAGCGCCAGTCCAAGATCCTTGATAGCGCAAACGACGACGCCAGCACCGCCGAAACCGCCCCAGATATCTCGGAACATGCGCCCTTGGACACGCCAAGTGGCGAAGCGGATGGCCCAGCTGCGAAGTTCTCACAAGAAACGAGTGAAGCCGTCTCTACCGAAGCGAAGTCCTCGGAGCCATCGCCTGAGACGGCACTCGCGCCTGCTGAAGATGACGGTAAAGAAAATCAGTCCCACGACACCGAACCACACGGCGGCAACGATAAAGTTCTGACTTGGACTGATCACATGGTATCTTCGCAGGTAGAGCAACAACAAGTAACGCCTCCCGATCGTCCGTTCCAACCCGCGCATGAAACCGAGCCAACTTCCATCGGCGAAGCAGCAAGATCAATTGATGCTGAACAACTTGAAAACAACGCATACGATGCTTTGCCGGCCGTTGACGATGGGTTAGAGCGATCTGGTGAAGAAGGTACGAGAGTCAAGAACGAGCTTGTGTCCGAAGAACCCGAGATGGGTCTACTTGAGATTTCACGAGAAGAGAAGGAAGATATATCGAGCCAAGGAGAAGATACCAATCAGGTCAGAAGCGACGCACAAGTGGAGGAGTCGGCGAAAGCAGCCGTTGAAGGAACACCTGAAGATTCCATTAGTCAGGAACACGCTTCAGAATCCGTGCCAAATGGCGGAGATGCCACGACTAAGGATCAGTCCACTGATATCGAGGTTACCGATCCTTCAAAATCAGAGGATATCCTTGAGCCGGAGAAGGAAGAGCTGCCGTTATCAACCGCAGGAAAGAAAAAGAAGAAAGACAAGAAAAAAAAGAAGGAGCAACAGGAGACAAAGACCGATGAGACGTTGCAGGAGCCCTTGGTGGATGCTGCACAAGAAAAATCGCCAACAAGCCATGCGCCGACTGATACCGCTGTACCTGTTGCCGAGTCTCAAGCAGAACCCGTTACCGAGCCATCGCATGAGCTTTCCGAGCCACAGAAAGCAGCTGAGATCGCAGCTGAGGACAAAGACGTGGAGGAGACCCTAGAGGTGCAACAAGACGTAGCGCCTGCGGAGGACGGCTTTGAGGAAGCACCGGCTGTTTCACGGAAGAAGAGCAAGAAGGACAAAAAGAGAGAGCGCCTTGCTCTAAAGGCTGCTGTTGAGTCACACGAGAGTGAATCGAAGCCGGAACAGCTGGCGACTGGAGAGCACCTCCTTGCAGTTTCTGATGCTCAGCCAACCGAGCTCGCGACTCCTGTATCCACCCAAGCTCTGGAAATATCTACCGGGACCACGGAAGACGCTGGCGAAGGGGAACTGCATTCGAGCGCGGTTCAATTCACGGTTCCGGTGGAAGACACTTTAAAGGCCAAAGAAACGTCTGAAGGCCAGACAGTTGAAAGCCTCCAATCACTAGAGGCTCCCGACCAGGCGTTCGAGCGGGAAATTCTGCTGAATGAGGATGTGGCAACGGCTCCAGAGGAACTACCTGCTGTGGAGAAGTCAGCGGGTGATGAGACAGCTACGGAACCAATAATCGAAGAAGCAGCCGTGAGTCGTAAGAGCTCCAAGAAAAAGGCGAAGAAGGCAAAGAAGCAAGCTCAAGAACAGCAAGAAGAGAACACAATTCCCGCCCCTGCTGAGCTTGGAGAAGACAGCATTGTGGAGACTACGCCCACCATACCAAGCAAGCCCGACCTAGCGGAGAATTCTGGTGATGTCCTTGAGGCGAACGTTTCAGAAGAGCAGGGGACGCAACTTGAAAAGTCTGAGCAGTTGGTTCCATCGGACGCCGCTCGACCCCAAGAGACTCTTGAGCAGACTCCGAATATGAACAATCAAACCGAGGATGTGCTATTGATGGAGCAGGAAAAAGAGGGCAATTTTCAGGCTGAACCAAGCCAAGGCCTTGAGATTCGAGACGACGAAGTTGTCGAGGATTCCGTCGAGAGTCAGCCTGAACCTATAGCAGCTGTTGCGAGAAAATTATCCAAGAAAGAGAAAAGAAAAGCCAAGAAGAAATCTGCCAAGGACGCCATCGAGCCCCCAGACGAGCCGGAGCTGCAAAATCCAACAGAATCTATCGGGGAATCCGTTTCCACCGCGGACAAAGCCAAGATAGACCAAGATCCGTTTCTGACAGTTGCCTCCGACAAGCAAATAGTCGAGGAGGTTCCACGCTTACCTGAGGTCGAGCCTGGAGCTCCGGAGGTGCACCAAGGTGCAGCTGAAGAGGATGACTGGCCTGCAATAGACTGGGAGAAAGGTAAAGTCGAAATCAAAGAACAGACGCCACTGCCATCACCTGAGGCTCATGCAGTTCCTTTTGAGCCAGCCATTGCAGAATTCGACGAGACTGCCATCCCAGAGGGATTGCTTAGACGACAAAGTCTATCGCGTGAAGAGCAACTACTGGGAGGCAACGACGGGAGCTCACAGCACACAGGAGTCGATGAAACCAAAAGTTCTCCGCAAGAAGGTGGGTTGATGATAGACCCTTCTGCCGTGGCCGAGACGGGGCAATCTGCCGGACCGAAAGCAGAATCTGTAAGTTCGCAAGTGTCCCCTAAGTCAATTCACGAAGACGCTGGGCAGCATCCCGAGAATGAATTGGCACGGGATCAGGCAAAGAGCGCGACGGAAGTGGTGCCGTCTAAGCAGAGCAAAGTTGCGAGCGTCTTCCCAGATCTTGAGCGCGGATCCTTTCGACGACCTGTTCCGGGCCAAGTATTGATGCCGGTAAAAGATAGGGCTGAGGATGAGACTATTGACGAAAATGCGGATGAGAACAGCGCAATCAAGGTCTCGGAGGCGCCTATCCCGGCCGGCGAGCCGGAAGAGAGCCATTTACAGGGCCAGCAGGATGAGAAGAACCTGGAGCCCACGACTACGGTTTCTACACGAGATCTATATCTAGAAGAACATACGAAGATGCACGACACAAACAGCACCCCAGTTAACCTTGCCTTCGACGTTGAGGTTGACCCCTCGTACAATGTTTCTGTGATATCTGACGGTCTGGGGCACGAAACCAAATCTATTGAGATCGAATGGAACGACGATGGCGATAAACGGACCCAAGAAGTCGAAACACCATTGTACGCACCATTACCTGTGCATGAACAGAAGTCGTCCCTTGTCAGCCAAACGTCTCCTGTTGACATGGACCGGAACGAGCGGATTCCGAGAAACGATTCTTCCTGTGGGCTTCGTCGCAGCCCGTCAATTCATGGGCGACATAATCACCCACCGCGAACATGGTCGCTGGAGGATACACCAATCATCAAGGCAGTGACACCACCTCTATTTGGGGGACCAGCAGGGCCCACTGTGGACATGAGCTCACCTCCACGTACTCCATTACAGCCCATCGCGGAACAAGAGCCAGAGGTTCGAGTGGAGCAAGCGAGCGGATTCAGATCCATGGTTTCCGAACACGGGACGCCCCGTCTGGAAATGAAGCCCGAACATGTCCTTCCACGTCCCGAAACTCCGATCAGGAAGTTTACAGATAATGCATTGGCACGTCAGACATGGCCTGTGGCGGACAACGACATGTTCAAAAGCTCAGAAGACGAGGATGCGGCTCTTGTTGTCAAGAAACGACGGTCAGGTAACGAATGGCCTGCAGAAGTACTAAAAACTCCCGATCAAGGAATGCCCATCCTTAGGCCCAGCAGCGTGAGCAGCATCAAAAGCCTGCAGAGCAATCACAGTGTGACTGGCGGGCAGAGATCGCTACGACGCACCAGTCGCAACACCAGCGGGGATTTGCGGGCTACTAGCCAGGCACAGGAAAGCCACAGTCCCCAGCCACACGCTACGCCCCAGCCTCCTCAGCCCCCACCCTCCGATCTCAACATCGAGCGCATCGCTTCGTCTTCCTCCTACGACCCCGTCACGGACAAGGGCAAGCGCCCCATACGAGCCATGACGGACGTCTATGTAAGTGTTTCTCAATTCAATTTTGTTATCTCTTTTAATAGATGCGATTATTGTTGGCCTTCCAATACTAACTGGTCCCGGTCTAGGAGGGATGGGGGGAGACGCCCAGCTCGCCTCGGTCGCCGAGCCGACCGCCCAGTATCCGTCATCGTCGAAGTATGCAACACCTCCAAGAACTTGAAGCTCGTCTCGATCAACTCATCTCGGAAAATCGACTCCTCATTGCCGCTCGTGAAGCCGCCGAGGATAAACTTCGAAATGCTAGTGTCGCCCGGCGGAAGAGCGACCATACACTCAACGAGCGCAGTGCCGACCTACGTGACAGAGAAGCCGAGGTGGAAAACCTCAAGAATTCCGTGGAATGGCTTCAAAAGGAAGTGACCCGCCTAACAGAAGAAAACGAAGGGCTTGCTACGACTAACTCCAACCTGACCGCCGCCCATGCCAAGGAAATTGAGTCGGTGCGCGAATCGTCATCTCGCCAATTGGACGACCTGCGCTCAAGATATGAGCAGCTCTCTATGGAAGTGCAGAACACAGTGCGGCACGAAATTGAGACTGCGCTGGCGCGAAAGGATAATGAATTGCGACGGCTGAGGGAAGAGCTTGAGACCGCTCGGGATAAGGTGTCGCAGTTACAACAACAAATTGCCGCATCCTTGCATGATAATGTTCTCGTCTTCCGCGATGAGGATTTCTTTGATGCTGCATGCCAAAAACTGTGTGGACATGTGCAGCAATGGGTTTTGCGGTTCTCCAAAAACTCCGACCATCGACGCTGCCGCAAACTCGCTGAGATACAGGATGAGAAAATTGCGGACCGCTTCGACAATGCCATCCTGGACGGCTACGATACGGATACTTACCTCGCCGACCGTGTTCGTCGCCGCGATGTCTTCATGTCCGTGGTGATGAGTATGGTGTGGGAGTTTGTTTTCACACGGTATTTGTTTGGCATGGATCGTGAGCAACGCCAAAAACTCAAGTCCCTGGAAAAGCAACTGAGCGAGGTTGGTCCACGGAGCGCTGTCCATCGTTGGCGTGCAATTACCCTTACTCTCCTGTCGAAGCGACCAGCATTTGCTCGTCAGCGTGAAAGCGACACGGAAGCGGTTGCATTGGAAATCTTTGAGACTCTGTCGCGTCTCCTCCCACCTCCAAGCCATGTCGAAGCGCAGCTCTTGGAGTCTCTACGCAAGGTTCTCCGGGTTGCAGTCAACCTATCAATTGAGATGCGCACGCAGCTGGCCGAATACATTATGCTGCCGCCACTCCAACCTGAATACGACACAAATGGAGACCTAGCACGGCAGGTCTATTTCAACGCCTCGTTGATGAACGAACGCAGCGGGGAGACAACCTCGAATGAGGAGCTGGAGTCACAACAAGCAGTCGTCCGGGTCGTCTTGTTCCCGCTCGTGGTAAAGAAGGGCAACGACACAGGCGAGGGTGAAGATGAAGTAGTTGTCTGCCCTGCTCAGGTGCTTGTCGCTCGACCCGACAAAGATCCAAGAGCCAGCAAAGTCTTCAGCAGCGATCGCATGTCACTGGACGGAACCAAGTCTGTTCACAGCGTCGCTCCATCATCGACCATGGATATTAGCAACGTGATCTGAGGCGTCACACTCCGATCACGACTTGTTGATGCTGAGCTACATGGATTGATGTAAGCTGAAGGCTCTCAGCTATCTTCATATTTTCTTTCTGTTCTGGTATGGTAATTGGCAATGATATCCGGAGGCGTCAGGGTCAAAAGAGTTGGATCTATACAAGATCCCTTATGAAATGGTAATGGATAATCATGGAGGGTCAAGGTTCCCTTGTGTTCTATTTTACGAATATGCTTACGATGCTACGGCCTCTATCTTCTGGTATTGTTGATGATGTACATGCTATTCTTGATTTGTTGCTATCTTTTCGGATCTTATTCAAAAGGAGATCTTTGTGTGTATGTATCTTTACATAGATGATCATGATGACTGATGACTATTCATAAAGTTCTTGGATGAATACGTTGAGATCATTGACATTCACATATCTCCTTGTTACTTAACTCGTAGATCTTCGAGAGTATACGGGCGACATGCTTCACAAAAATAAAATGCAAGATTTAGCTGTAGAATTGAGCTGGTTATTGTTGGAACGAGGGACATAGCTACAGAGAGAAAGCAGACTGTACCTACTCGGAGTAGATTCTAGGATCGGCAGAAGCTTCAAGCAAGGTTGCAAGGCCGCCAATCAAATCGCCCGAATGATCTCATCGTCATTGCCGGCCTGAGGCAGTCGGCCATCTCAACCGCCGCCGCCTGCTGTACCTCTCTCCACTTGCTTTCTTCTCAATCTCGCCCTCTCTCGTACAGTTGTCGCTTTTTGTGACCCTTGGATTATTTAGCATTGCTCTCCTCCTGCCTCAATTTTGTGACCTTAATGGAACAGACCGTTTAGCTTTGTACCGCTCCATGTTTCACTGCGCTGCGCCACAGGCGTCATCCCCTACGACTTCGGTACAGTACAACTCTGCTCGTGAATCCTTGTCCAGAGAGCCCCGATGAATTATCAAAAGGCATGTAGGTTGCTGCAACGATAAAACTGCTGCAACTCCGTGGATCTAGCCAGATTTCGGTTTCCTTCCTATTCCCGCCATCATTGACCATTACGCCTGGGATTCCAACCAAGGGTTTTCCCGCCGCCATAATATTCGATTGAAAGAGATCCCTTGACTCAGCATGGCTTCCGGCAGGTCGCCGCGAAGCAATGGTCCTCAGACCGAGACGGCTGCAGCGACAGGGGCTTATCGTAGCTCTGGGGGCTACGAGACGCCAGCCCCACAGACCCATCACGACACCGCATCGGAGGGTCGACCTGCAACGAACAAGCCGAAGCGGAGAAAGAACCGTCATCGAAAGCGTCGCAACCGCCGGCAGTCCTTTCTTACCCCTGAAGAATCCCATAATGCGGCTGCGGTCTCGGGTGCTGACGCGGAGGCTATGATTGCGGGTGATCAGCCCGATTCTCGGCCGGCATTTCCATTTTACAATCTGGGAAGGGATCTGAGCAATACAAGCTTGGAGAGTGAGGCTCTGCTGGACCATCGGTAAGTTTAAATTTTCATTTGGGGGGCGTTGTTTTTCGCATTGCTGATATGCGCCTTCGTAAATCTATGCAGAAATCAACCCATGATGCGACCTCGGAGAGAAAGCCGGCTGGCACAGTCATTTCGACCTGGATCTATGACGATTCCATCCCGTCCTACCGATTTAGCCTCTCGCGGTACACCGTCCGGTACCAGGGCCTTTCGTGCTGGAGACGACAGCGACGGATCAGACGGTATAGATGATCATACGCCGTTGATACGACCAACTTCAGGCCATCATAACAATAAATCCTGGTATGGAACAGATACCAAGGCGAGCCCCTTTGCATCGCGCCAGCGACGTGCCTCTGTGCAGTCATATTCCTCTCGATGCTCTCCTCGCGGTCTCGCGACTTCTGACCCTGATCGAGATTATGACATCAATAACCCTCCTTCCATCCCGAGCTCACCGAAGCTGGGAGGTGAGATGAACTACGACGACGCGGTGGTAACGGGAGCAGACTTTGACTTTGCTCTGGCGAAATCAATTGATAATCGCAATCAGGCGGGCTCTCGGCCGAATGACATGGTAATTGACGTGGATGGTCGTTCCACTCAACCGAAACCTTCTACTCAGTCCTCCCCCAGTTCACCACACCTTCCGCCTCATGAGGCTCTTCGTCGGCGCCGCACTGTCGCATTACCGGTAGAGGAGGATGTTTGCTTTCCCATCGAAGAGGCCTCAGAGCTCGCCGAGGAGGATGTACGGAGAACATCCCGAGAGGACGGGCGGCGACGGCGGAGGACCAAGGAATGGCCGGACCTGTCTGTTCTGGAAGAATGGAGTCGGGAGGAGAAGGAGGAACGAACTGGTGTGCTTCGCGCCAAAAAGATCAGCGAGCCCATGCTGATTGAAGGTCGACTGAGACCTCAGTACCGAGTGTGGCGGCGCGAGGAAGACGAGGCGCCATATCGATTCACTTATTTCAACGAGGAGTTTCAGAGTACCATTCATGCCCAAAGCATATCCGAGCTGGTGCAGCCTGGTGGTAGTTTCCGGGAGTTATTCATCCCCGAGCCCCCGGAACTGGAGGATTCGTCAGACGAGGAGGACGTTGAGGATGAACACATTCACAGTGACCATTTCACCGACTCCAACCACAACGGCCAGGACAACGTCAGGGCGGAAGAGCACAGGCCGGCACAGGCCGGTGGACACAATGTGAACGCTGCGAATGGCCCAAAGGTGCAGCATAATATGTCCGTAATCAGCGAAGGCGTGTCCGAAGCACGCACATCAGTTGAAGTCTCACCAGCGCGCAAGATCTCACCACCGAAGCCCAAGAAATTTGGGCCTCGTCCGACCTTCTGGCTGGATGTTCTCTCTCCGACAGATGCGGAAATGCGCGTGATTGCCAAAGCATTTGGGATCCACGCCCTGACGGCCGAGGATATCATGATGCAGGAGGCGCGTGAGAAAGTCGAGCTATTTCGAAGCTACTACTTTGTTAACTATCGGACCTTTGAGCAGGATCCTAACAGCGAGAATTACTTGCAGCCTGTGAACATGTACATCGTCGTTTTCCGGGAGGGGATCTTGAGCTTCCATTTCTCGCAGACGCCGCACCCGGCGAACGTTCGCCGGCGCATCCGCCAGCTGATGGATTATTTGATCCTCAGCTCCGACTGGATCTCGTATGCGCTGATTGATGACATCACGGATGTTTTTGGTCCGCTGATCCAGTCTATTGAGGACGAAGTGGACGAGATCGATGAGAAGATCATGAAAATGCACTCTCCTGGGCGCATGGATTCCAGCGATAACCCTGCCAACCGCCGAGAGGATGAGGACGATGAGCCAGAACCACCGGCTCCCGGCGAGATGCTGCGACGCGTGGGAGAATGCCGTAAGAAAGTCATGGGAATGTACCGATTGCTGAGCAACAAGGCAGACGTTGTGAAGGGGTTCGCTAAGCGGTGCAATGAGCATTGGGAAGTGGCACCGAAATCCGAGATTGGGCTGTATTTGGGAGATATCCAAGATCACATTATGACTATGACCAGCAGCTTGACCTACTACGAGACGTATGAGTTCCTTCCAGCGAGTGCATTACATCTGGAGATACGGCCAGCTAACGGGTGCCACAGGCTACTGTCACGGGCGCATTCAAACTATCTAGCGCAGATCAACATCTTGATGAATGAACGCCAAGAACAGACAGCAGATGTCCTTGGGAGGCTTACTGTTCTCGGAACGATCGTGCTTCCCATGAACATCATCTGCGGTATGTGGGGGATGAACGTCAAGGTTCCCGGTCAAGACATAGATAATTTGTGGTGGTTTTGGTCAAGTAAGGACTCCTTGCATCGTCTTCTCTTTCCGGGGAATCTATGAGATGGTCATGTGAACTGACATTGCCTTGAATAGTTACTGGAGGCCTGATCATCTTCGCTTTTGCTTCCTTCCTGATCGCAAAGCGAGTTTACAAGATCGTCTAGGTGGCGGTGTTATGACTGGCTCGGCGCAGAGCTATGACAATGAAACATGATACCCTTAATCCGTATATTGTTCTCTGAAGAGAGATTCTGGTATTTATCACGGATTGCACAGGTCACTGTTGGATAGATGGGTATGTTGGATTTTGGTGTTGATGTGTACTCTGTATAGACGGGGCTCTCCGTGTTCTGTTTTGTTCCATGTTTGGAAAATGATTGCTTCATTATCCAGCTACCTGTTTCATATAGGACTCTCTAGTCCAACAGAAGGTTGTATACCGATCAAAACAATAATATTGCTGCCTACCTACTTGGCGAGGTCGGAATCTATTCCACCAATATGGTCATTGTCCCATGCTGCCAACCACATCCTCTGCAGATCGTAATATTGCTTGGCTGGTCGAACTGCATCACTTGAGCATGAGCAAGTCTGCTATAAGCAATTTTCACCCACTTTCATAGAGGTATTGAGTCTTCAAATTCCCTGGATCTCTCTTCCATCTTTGTGTCTTAGACAGGTAAAGTTCTGGAAAACTGGGCAGTTGGAGGGAGGAGATGAGGTCATGATGACTGGTTGTAACGACGTAATAATAATACCATCGCTTTGCTGTTATTCCCCCTAATTCCTCGGGTAATTTTACATAATGGTGTCACATCACTGTACCAGACCCCAGGGGCTGGACCGCCTCTCCCTCTCCACCTGACTGCATTGTTTCAGTGTTTCTCTCTCTTCGCTCTCGTACCTTTCTTGTCCCGTCGTAGTCATCTCCTCGGAGGCTTCGTCATCACCGTCTTCATCGCCTCTTTCATCTTTTCTCGGGTAACCTTTGAATCCGTCTATTCTCCTCGATCTCACTGTCCCCTTCCAAATCCCCTCAAACTCTCCGTCCTTCGTACTAGACCACGCTCCCCCTGTCTCACCCAATTCCGATTCGGTGACGAGAGACGGGACCTCCGGATTTTCCCACGCTACCTACCTAAGCCTACCTACCTACCTACCTTACACACTAGACTACTCCCTTCAGCCGTTGTTCCTTGACGTGGGCG